GACAGTGCCAGCCGCAGAGCTTACCCGCTAGGCTAAGGTACTGCTGGTATTTGACGGGGGTAAATTAGAGTCTCTTATAGCTACTGACTGACAGCAAGCTTTGGGAAAACAAAAAGCCACCACTGGGATTCGAACCCACCGTCTAACGATCTGATAACCGCGAGCTTAACCACTCGGCCATTTCAGAGATATTGATTTTAGTTGTTCATGTTAAGGAGATAACAAAATCATTAGCCTTACTGCACAGAATGTTGCTGTGTAAAGTCTGAGTGATTAAAACGCTACAATATTGCATCACATGGTAAAAATACACATTCACACAAACAATGGCCTCTTTACTATTTTAAATGAACGCGCATCAATATGGGCAAGTCCCCGGATCACGTCTGTACACCTGTATACATGTCCGAACTCTTTCATAGTATCTTATGTGAATGATACACCGTTTTTACCCCCCCCCCCTTTTGGAGAAGGGGGTTCTCGTGTTTCCTTTTACTAGCATATATACCATATATATATATATTCTATATTAGAGGGTCCTGAGAGCCATGAAATTGAGGAATTGAAGAATTATGGCACTGAACCTCTGGCCCTGGCTCGGGGCTTCCAATTCTGAGCAATTTGGATGAAGTCGGGTCCGAAAGTGGAACTATTTAGCCGTTTTAAAGAGTGTTGCAATTTCAAAATGGCTACTTTTCCGGGCAATGAGATATCCTTCATTTTAGGGGTGGTCTGTTTTGGGTGAGAATTTCTCCAAAATTCATTGGTCAACCCACTAAAAATTGAAAGGAAAACGAAAGAGGACATGTCGAACATAGTTTTTCTGTACATCCTGAACACGTGTGAGAGTTGTGTTTGTTCTAATATTTGTGAAGTATGGGGATTTATCACTACTGGCTATGGGAATTTACTTCCTGCGGTGCACCCAGCTCACATGGCGCGCTCGCAACGCTGATACGGTAAGAGCGCCCTCAGAGTTCAGAAGTATTTAGTTCGTTTTAGACTTTGTGTTTGGTTTGCAAACGTCGTCCTTTGATTTCACATGCGTTTGGTTAATCTAAAGATTGATATATTTGTGTGTAGATTTGTCCTCCTGTCATTTCGTGGTTTGATTTCAAATTTTTGTTTATAAATTTGTCCTCTTGTTGTTTTGTCCTTTGCTTGGTTTTAACTTTTTCATTTTTGTAAATTTGTCCCTTTGTTGTGCTGCGTCTTTTGCTTGGTTTGGAATATCTTTTTTTTGTGGATTTGCCCTCTCACCACTTGACTTTGTTGATCTATAATATCGTTCTCTTGGTGTTTTGTAAATGGATGGGCAGGGAGGAAGTGTGATGGGTCGGGAACCCCGAGACCCCAGAAGAATCCTGTATGGAAGCCGGTAACTGCGATTCATTGCAAATTTCAGGAGTGGGTGCACCTGAATACTTGGTGAACACAACATAACTTTCGGATTTGTTTCTTATCTTCAGGTTGTAAGTGCGAAAGCCCCGTGATGCTATGAAGTATAATTATACAAAAAGTGAAGTTTGTTTTAATTAAGTATATTTTTCCCACTTCGTTTTTACGTGATGCACTTTTTCCCAAAGTTCGTTTGTTCTAAATATATATTTTCCCATCCGTTGTTATGAGATCTATTTTAAAAAGATATTTGTTATTTTTGGAAACAACTCATGATTAAGATCAATTTTTTTTGTATGAGGTATATTTCTTAAGTTCGTTTTAGGAGATATACAAACGAACTTGAAGCTATAGTATCTCGTAAAAGCGAAGTTAAAATTATATCTCATAAAATGAACTTAGAAAAATATACATGTATCTCTTGCTGGCGTCAGAAAGTTTTTCTGTGTTGAAAAGACGGATCCGAATCAAGGTGTTACAATTAAAATGAAAAGTCTCCTCTATTTAATGCCAGCATGGCTGTTGTCGCTAGAATCTGCAGCTTCATTTTCTTTTGCGTTCGCGTTTCCATTTTTTTTTATTTGTAGTACTTTTCACATAGATACTGGTAGAGTGTTATGAAGTATTTGGGCAGACTGTCTCGAACCAGCGAATGTCTTAGAATGATTGCATTGAAATCGCGGCCAGCAGGCACAATTTCGCCTCCAACTGACGCTGGAATATCCGTAGTTAAAGGAAACAATTTCTGTCTTGTCAGAATAATGAGACGTAACGATCTCGTGCAGATATATGCTTTCATGAATGAATCTTTTTTCACGGAAACAGTTCTTAGCAGAAAGAATGTGATGGCCGTTGGGGTTAGGGTGTTTGTCAGAATTTCAAAGGTTTCCCTTTCGTTCCTGTTGAAAGGCTTGTGCCATCGCTATTCAAAGGGGTTTTCAATTAACAGGCAAAAGCTACGATTCCATCGTAACGTTAATTCATCGTCATCGTAAGCATCCATCTCGTCTCTTGAAAAGTGAGCCACCTAGAAGCAGTGGCATTGTGTACTAATTACTCGAATTAACAAACGACTTTTCTTGCTTTATATCGTTTCCTGTTTGCTTTAACTCATCGCCTAGCAGGCAGAAGCTTGATGGTGTAGGTCAGTTGCATTGTCAATTGTGTGAAAAAAGGTCCCAGTGCCCTTTGGTAACGCACATGACAAACTAACCTTAACTTTCCGCTTAAAACACCGGTACTGTAAAAAAAAAAAACTCATGGGCTGCATGCCAGGTTATTTTCCATTTTCACACAAACGTTTGGAGGTATTGTGTACGACATTATTGGGTAAAACAACTGCGGGGAAGAATATTCGGACGTAACTTTGAATTTAAAAGAATTCTTCCCACCATCCCACGCGGCAAGAACACATCATGTGCACATCAAGGTACAATGCGAGAGAGATACCTTTATTCAATGGATTTTACTTTCCTTCTTCACTTTCAACATTTGTACAGTAACACAGAAAACAAGAATTTGGGTGAATAGAAACTTACGTCAGACACATCTCTACACAGGCCCCTGAGCCACGTCCTTTAAAAATAGCTTGGGTGAATATAAACTTTGAAAAACCCACTGAATGTGTACAAAAAAGCACCTGCCCCCATCAGTACAGACGGTGAGCGGTTCAAATCATCTTCAAAAAATAAACCTGTATCCAAGGCGATAGTTTAATTTGTAAAATTCACAAAAAACACAGCATGTAATAGGTAAACTGGAAAGTTATTACTACTGCTAGTTTCTGTGCTTTTTTCATGCAGTTTAAAATTGGAAATCTACTTCGTGATGAAAACCTTACCCATTGGTCATTTTGGTGCTGAAGAAAATATCAATTAAAGGTTGTTTTTTCCTCTCCTTTACATACTTTATCTCCACCATGCCAAGGGTGGAAAGTATAAGCAAAAAGAATTATATAAACGGATCAAAAATAGACTAATAATTGGTTCAAAAGATAAAGTGTGATTTACCCATTACACTATTTACAATTCTGAAATCAAAATATAATACATACTTGTAACTCCAAAAAGAGTTTAAATTTCTTTAAATGACCTTCTGTTAGGAAAGATCTTCCTAAAAACCAAGGCATGTGTACTTCAACTCCACGGAAAACAAGAAGTGTCATTTTTAAAGGCAAAGTTAAACCGTGTGAAACAACTAACCTCAATACCTTTAGAGTGGTACATTTGTCAGGAACTCCTCTTAACTGGATACTGCAGTAGTCCAACGGTATGTGTCCTCTATACTTGGACCATATGGGATGACCAAGCCCTGGATACACGTATCAACTGGAAGTGACTGGACCGATCTACTGGGTGATCGGTCTTGTTTTGTCTTCAGAGACGCATGGCAGCTTAAATGAGGGGTTGGATCTAACACATTTACAGTTACATGTAATACAAAATGTTCTCCATGCTGATCTTTCTTCGCAGTTTGAATCAATCCACATATTTCTCCTCTTCAACTTGCTAGACATTGAGGACAATCAAATTAGAAGCAAAAGTAGTAATGTATCTTCAAAGTAAATCATGTTTGCATGAAACCTGTCACACAGTACATGTATATTTTTCATGCTGAATTCAAGTTCTGTACAGAAATAGAGAAATAATGCATTAACACCTGTTTGTCTTGGCACCCACGTTTGGCACACAAAACGAAAAGTTTAACCAGCAAAATAATTCTATGGGTGTGTTTTTCGAAATGAACAACTTCTCAAACCTTAACAACCTGAAACTGTACATTATTTAAATAAAAAACCCTGAACATTATGTAGAAAATTCATGAACATTTAAAGAATAGACAATCATCAGGTTCATTCATGAACTCAACTACATGTACAGGAAATACTGCAGAAATGCTGGGAAAAACAAAAATGGTGCAATATGTCTTAAAATCAATTTTCCTGTATATTTGAAAAAATAACCAAGGCAACACAGGCAAGCTATTTACTCTTAAGCTGCATATCCATGAGATACATTTTTGACATCACCACTTTAAATATGAGCAATTCACAACACAGCATGCCACCAAGAGTTTGCCACAGTCAGTTTACGGTCGACATGCTGCCGTGATTAAGTGCACTTTGTAAGTACATGTACATGTAATTTGGGTATATTTGATTGAGGCCGGTGTTCCATGCATCACACAAAACTATCATTTTGACTACCTAACTGACACCTATTTGAAATAAGCAATTTCAAATTTTAAGCCAAGACAAACAAACATTCGGAAAAAAAATTCAAGTTTTCCCATGCACAGCGCAGTTAGCGAATGAGACTTTATCCACTATTTTATCCCATAATCCACTGCAAAAAGGCCTCTCCATGAAAACCTCTTGGTGGTGCACTGCATTATGAATCACCGGTGTTGGATTCTGTATTGCTATTTGTTTAACCTTAAAAATCATCTGCCGGTTTTCAAGCATAACTATAACTTGAAAATAAGGAATCAACTATAAACAATACCCTATCAACTAACACACAAATTCTAAATTCTGAACTGGAAGCAGAATCCTCCTCATTTAAAAGGTGTAGCTCGATCCATACAAATGTACCTGAACATGCATGTTCACACATACTTTGACCAATGTCAGAGCAGTATTTCTACAATCAAATTGTTACCCGTGAAATTGGAGAACTTGTTAAAACATGACTTTTTGTACATGTCTCCGAGCATGGTCAAGATTTTCAACATTTGAAAAAATACTGTTTCCTTCAACAATTGGAGATAGTAAAACTCCAACAGAAAAAGTAAAAAGATCTTTTACATAGAAGGCAGCTTAGCACATGGGCTAAAACTCTACATGTAAGAACCAAACAACAATCTGCAACCAAATCTGTCCAAAGCTATCCAGTGGAACGCTGCTATACCGAACACTGCTATACCGAACATTCAGCTGTAACAAACATCGTCCTTGGCTCCCAATAATTTGTGCACAGAATCTACCGAACACTGTTCAGTTGCCGTTTGTAATTCCCGAACGTCAACATGATAAAACAGTCAGTGTTTTTATGTTGGAAAGTGACAAGTGGCCATTATTTCCCCTAGGATTAGAAGGGAAAGCCACCAGTTGTCAACGGTATTGAATAGACACTGGTTTTACGACTCCGCATGATCTGGTGCAAAAGAAAACCGCACGTACGCACACCATGGCATTGCACTAACAATAGTCTAAAGAGGGCGCCGCTGATACACAAATCAACCAAGATTCGCCACAGCATGCATCAGAGGTCGATCCCGAGTGGTAGCTTCATGACTTTTAGGATAAACTTGATATCAATTTTGTGACTCAAGATTAAATAAAAAACAAAAATAATTAACAGATACATTTCTAGAAACCTTAAACTTAAGCAACGGCAAAACATCACGAAAACAGCGCACCATAGTATCACAAGAGGGTGCACTTCAGTTAGACAAGGCGTTATTCAACATGGCAACGAAATGTTCGCCAATAAATTTGCTATACCAAATGACCACTGAACCGAGCATTTAGCGTGGACCCCATCGTATTCGTTATAGCAGCATTCCACTGTATATACGTGTACATTTGTATAGAGGTACACTTTTTGTGCGACAGATGTAGTGAAAAATGCCACCAGTGACTGCTTGGACTCAAAGCATGCTAGTCGGCAAGTGGCTTATCAACATAACGCTGGTTGCACAGCTGGTTATCAACAGAGGCAGAGCACATTGCTGTGTATGGCTACAGAAGTATGTGCGGTAAGGTTTAAGGCGGTTTGACCGTGCTAGAGATGTTGACACTTTCATTTCAACACACTGGCATAAGGCATCGCACAAATCAACTTTTTTAGGATCAGTGGTACTTACAATAGAGACAAACCTGCTCAGTGTAACCTTTGTTGCAGTACCCCACCTTCAATCATCCAGCTCAAACATAACTTGATTGCCAAAAGTCACAGCGCTCTGAGTTCTGTGATCTTGCAGTTCCAGAGGCACTTCTGCGTCGTTTTTGGTGTTAGCCTGAGATTTCTCCTCTTGCATCTTAGAGTCTGTTTCTGTCTGGACTCGTTTATTAACGGGCTCCCTTGCTGGACCCTGCTTTTGACCTTGATTGTGGGTAGCATCCATTCCCCCAAACTTGTCCTTGTATCCATTGACAGCGAGGTTCTGGGACGTTGGCAGACTTCCCTCAGATGAGGCTGAGCGGAGGGGATGCCTGGGCTCAAACCAGGACTCCTTCATCCTCCCATCATCCTCGTCCAACGCCATGGCCCTCTTGGCTGCGTTCATCTTCTTCCGCTGCCGCTTGTTGGCTTTGGGCTTCTTCTTCTTCTTGCTGTCAGGGGCCGGGGATGTACACTCTCCCCCGCTGGAGTCGCTGCTGGTTTGTCTCTCCAGTCCAGCCCACTCCGGGAAGACCACCTCCTCTTGGAACTCCTCATCTTGGTCCTCGTCTTCATCCTTCTCCTCCCTCCCTCTGGCCCCTCGCCAATACTGGATCTCTGAGTCGCTGCAGGTGCCACCTTGGTTCTGGGATGTGTCTCGGAGCTTCGTGATGAACCGCCGGGGTCTGGGCGGCTGGTGCCGTTTGTTCTTGCCTCTGGCCTTGCTGGGACTGCCTCTCACCATGGTCTCCACCACCACGTCTTCGCTGAAGCTGACGGACCGCTGGGTCCTGTGGCTGTGGTTGCCGTCCCTCAGGGCACTCCTCAGGCCAGAGGGAGAGCAAGGCGTGGAAGGATTGGAGTTGTCGCTGCCCGGCGATGAATCTGCCTGCTTCAGATCCAGCTTGAGCGCAGCTGCTGTGGAAGACAGCTCTCCTATCATGGCATCTATCACCGTGTCTGTGACAGTGCCCAGTGCAACATCGGACATCTTATCTTCTGACAGTGCATCCCCATTTACTTTAGCCTGTACAGGGTGGAAAGATAAGTTTTAGATTTTTCCAAAGTTGACAGCTATCAACATGTGATGATGTCAAGTACATGTATGTGTCTGCATGCAAATTAGTTTACTGGTATACCTCGTTAATAAGAGCACAATTAACACAAGATTCTGCTTATAAAAAGGAAATTTTTAGGTCCCTGTCTTTTGTTTTCATTGTTATAATTCCTGACAATACAAGGCTCCTGCTATAACAAGGTAATTTGTTAAGTCCAATAAACCTCTTACTAACCAGGTTCAACTGTATCCATAAAAGACATTACCTTTATGAACCTAAACGTACATCAGTTAGAAAATTTAAATATCTGAATGGTGTAAAATATTATACCAGTCTTTTTGTAGCACGATCAAGGAAGACAGTTCTAATCCTTAGACGAAATTATTGAACTTTCTGTGCTACTGAAAGAACAGACACACTGGTTTGACTTGCACCTTTTGATTGCACCTTTGAAATTTTGAAGATGGTCGCTTGAGATTAGCAATCTGCCAACCAACCAACCGAGTAGTTGCGAGGCAAGTACAGAATTCTGAAAGCTTCCGACTGCAGCACATTTTACATCATGTTTCAGCACCAACACATTGCCACCTGCTGTTTGCTTGCATGAAAAACTGCAAGTTGTGCAATACATACATGTACGTACATGTACATGTCTATATGTTTACCACTTAGTTCCCCAACAGATATGGAATTGTTCATTCACCTGGTGTGATTATCCTGTAGTGGGCATTGCCATGTCTTGCTTTGTATACGTGCAGTTACAATTATCACAGTGATTCATTCATAGGAAAACACATTACAAAGGTGACAAAATGACTAATTTAATGTCAGCCCCCCGCCTTCCAAAAAAAAAAAGATGTAAGTGGGTTGCAGCTTTTAAATGTACAGGTACTTTTTTTTATTCTACTTTCCTATTTCCACAGACTCTGTTATCCAGAGATAGTCAGCAGCACTACCAGCACCAAATGCAAAATGGAAGTGCATCCATTCAATATGCAATGAAATATTTTTTTTTGACATTGGACATTTTTGACATGAATAGTGCCATTTAAAGGGCCATAAGTCAAGTTTAGGAAATCCTGCACATCCACATACACGTAAACACAGGACAACTTAGACAGGGAAGCCAGTGCAGCTGCAATTATTCCAACACTGCATATATTTGAAGTATTTAATAATTATTAACAAAATTAGTGCCAGGTGAAATTGATCACAATAAGTGTGCAAGTGGATTGCGCAGTTGCACATCAGCTGTACACAAGACATTAAGTTGTCCACTGTTAGAGGAGATCCTCATCAAAGACTGGGGCCACAAATTAACGATGGGGAGAAAACAAAACCTTGATTTGTAAATTCAAGTGACCAGCATTATCTAATTTTGCCCAACATATTTTCCCACATTGGATGGTATTGAAAATCCTGCAGTTCCCAGAACATTTTTAATGAAATCACCTTCTCTCCTCCAAAACACAGAAGCTGCCAGGAGGCCCTGATCAAAAGGAAGGTATTTCAACGAGGCAACAGAAAAATAGCTCCAAGTCCACTCCTTTCTCTAAAATTAAAAATTGAAAATCCCACAGCCTAGTTTAAAATAAAATTCTGACACACAGGCCTGACTAATTTGATAAATTTTAAACCAGCAAATCTCCAAACTTTAGCCCCCTGCTCTGATGACCTTAAGAATGAAAAAGGGGGGGGGAAAGTGTTCTAGTTGAAAAAGTTTGGGAAAAAATTTACGATTCACGAATGAGGGCAAGATCGGAACATTGGCCTTTCCATTCACTTTTACCCCAATATGCAACAAACCTAAGGGGGGTCATTAATTTTCTTTCAAATTAGGAATAATGAAATCAGATTTGGAAGAACTACATGTAAATCAAACTTGTATCACTGCTATTGGTTTAATTTTGAACCCGGGTGATTTGAAGTTCAAATGGCTAACATCTGTAAAAAATCAATTCAACCATCGAGAGTTTCTTAAAATATTGATGTTTGTACGAGCAGTTGTTAAAAACCCTGTAAACGAAGACAAAATTAAACTAAACAAATTTCAATCTATAGAAGAAATGTTTCTCCATTTGAAATGCCAATCACAGCTGAAACAATGTACCTCCAACTCAATGACCAGCTTGTTGTCTGATGCCTCAATAACACCACAGTCCATGCCAATTTTATGGGCAGATGCTGGCCGTTTACCTCTGCGTTTCTTAGTCATTTCCTTCAGGTGATGCCTGACGTTGTCTTCTGTCAGAAAAAGTTTATCCTGAGGGAGAAACCATCATTCATAACCCTCTATAATCAATTCAGTTTGATAGATTACGGACTGGAAACAGTGGCATATCCAGTGGGGGGTGGGGGGAACTTCCCCTTCACAGCTTTTTGAGTAAGGCTTTTGATATGTTTTTCTCCTCCCAACATCATGTTGAATAAGCCTGAAGCCGCATCCACTTTTGAATTTTCCCCCGACACCAAAAGCTGGATACACCGCTGACCGGAAAACCCTATTTCACGGACATTACTGTATGCGAGCCTTGATATAATGTTGTTTTAACTTCAGTTTTGACAATTTGGTTTTCCATTAATTAAAATAAGGCTCAGGAAGTTTATATAAAACAAATCTGCCACAATCTGCCATGTACACGTGTAACAAGAAACCCCTGTCAAGAGGTTTGCCAGGCAACTTTTTTATAGAGTTGAAATATTCCTAGGAACAGCTCTGCTTAGCACAGCAGTTGTCTCAGTGGGCTCTGGTATCAGTTTTGAAAGATTGCTCAGCTTAAAAAGCAATTATTTCAAAGCAACAGAGGTTTCCTGGTAAAAGTACATGTACTTTACAATGCAGGTCAGGGTTGAAGTTAAGTATTTGATATAAAGCGTATTCAGCCAACCAGAGTTCCTATTAGTGAACCCCTCAGGTAGCCAATGTGAACTCTATAGGGTTGGACTGCACATTTCTCAGGCGTATACAAATCCTTCACAACTTCCTGGATTGATTTGGAAGCATTTAGAAGCGTTCAAGTTCAAGATCAGTCATGATGATCTGTAACATTTTCACAGGGTGCCAACTTTTTTTGGAGGTCAACAGATCACGTATTGGGAAGGTACACTGATTAGCAATCTCATGTTTATAGTTGGTTCCTACATGTACATTTATTACCCAAAATTACATGAAAAACAGTTGACTTTGGTGCAACCTTCCATAACAAAAAATTGAAATGCTTCATTGGAAACACACTGGCCTCCCAAATTA